AGAGCTCTGCTTTTTTCCCCGCATCAACCACCAACTGTCCTGATTTGTCCTGCAGAGGCTCTGTTGCTCTGAGCTTTCCTTTTGCCCACTATATACCTGAAGGACTTTTTATTGCCCTTGATTGTTGAAGCCAGCCTGAGCTCAAGCCCCGCCTTGGCCTGTCTAACTGATTCCCTGCAATAGCGCGCCAGGGAGATATATTTCTCCTTGGTGGCTGCTCCCTGCTTCCGTTGCCTGTTCCATACTGTTTAACATCTTCATTAGTGATGTAGACATTGGAGTCAGAAGCGGACTGGCCAAGTTTGCCGATGACACCAAACTCTGGGGTTAAGCATCCACACCTAAGGACAGAAGGGTGGTCCAGACAGATTTTGACAGGCTCATGAAATGGGAAGATGAGAACCTAATGGTGTTCAACACCGAAAAATGCAGGGTTCTCCGCCTTGGGAGGAAAAACCTGAAGCGTGCTTATAGGTTTGGCAGTGCTACGCTGGTTAGCACTATGAATGAAAGGGACTTGGGGGTCATGATTGACCACAAGATGAACATGAGCTTTCAATGTGATGCTGCGGCTAAGAAAACGGGCAAAACACTGGCTTGCATCCATAGATGCTTCTCAAGTAAATCCCGGGACATCATTCTCCCGTTGTACTTGGCTTTGGTGAGGCTGCAGCTGGAGTATTGCGTGCAGTTTTGGGCTCCACAAATCAAAAAGGATGTGGAGAAGCTTGAGAGAGTCCAGAGAAGAGCCATGCGCATGATCAGAGGTCAGGAAAACACCTTATGACGACAGGCTGAGAGCTATAAGGCTTGTATGTGCACAAGCACAAATGCACACAACGCAGCTCTGTCATAGGATGCTCCCTAACACCCCTTTGGCCCTGAAGCAGGGGCTTTGTAGGACCAAGGACACTCTGCTATGACATCCCTCAGAGACTAGGACCCAGGAAGTGCAGCACAGGACCCTCTGCCCTGCACCCCTCACAGCCTACGTCCCTCAGCCCTTCCCTTCTTGCCTGCCCACGTACTTGGCTTCAGCTCTGGCTCTGGCCAGATCCTTTTTGTTGTATCCCTGCTGGGAGGTTTCTTGGGTTTCTGATGGCGCCGCCTGTACTCGACTGAGGGGGAGGAATATCAGGTTGTCACTGCCAGAGGCTGGGAGCTGACATAGCCGGGGCGCAGCAGGGTGGGGATATTCTCTTGGGGTTGGTGGCAGGGTGTGACTGGAGGGGACTGGGTGGGTGGAAAGGGCTGGAAAGAGGAACACTTGGCAATGGCAGCAGCACTCCTGGGGGGGCTCCAATCAGCTGAGTCTATCAGCAAGAGTCAAAGAAGTTCAAATCAGCTGAGTCTATCAGCAAGAGTCAAAGAGGCAGGGGGCTCAGCATGAAGGGGGTGCCTCCCCACAATCCAGACCACAGACCCGCAGGGGACCCCCAAGGAGGTATCCCCGTACCCCAGGCAACATGTAAGGCCTGAGACCAGGGACAGAGAATGAGCTGGGAGTCAAGGGAAGCAGGGGTCTCCTTAGCATGGGGTGTGGGGGCTATCTGCTCCCTGGCACCCTTACTTCCCTAGGAAGGGAAGCCCCATACAGTCCTCGTAGACCTCCCGCTCAATCTGGTCATTGTAGTCCAGTGTGGGTACCTCCATCTCCTCCAGCAGCTCTCTGGGGAGTGAAATGGTGTCATCTCCTCTACCTTGCATGGGCATTGGCATCCAGCTCCACACAGGATTGGGGCTGCCTGGGCTACTCTGTGTTAAGCTAGGTATGGAGCAAAGCAGGGGGTAAGTTAGGACAGTGCATTTGTCACTGCAGCCAGTGGTCTCCAATCTTTTTAAGCAGAAGTCCATTTTTTGAATTTTTTGAAATTCAACCCAGGATCTACTGCGCACCACCCGCACCCCCTACCCTGTGCCCAGCAGGTCAGTCTGTGGGGATGGGAAGTAGGGGGCATACCAAGGCCTCCACAGTGAGGGAGGGAGTAGGGACCCTGCTGGGCTGGGTGGTGGGACAATCAAAGCCCAGACAGCACATCCAGGTGCAGGGGGGCTCCTGCTGCTGCATGCATCCCAGCAGAGTCCCAGGGGGCACGTGCCCCCCTTCCTGATCCGTACATGAGGTGGACGTGACTGCCCCAGGAGCTGAGCCCAGCAGCGGGATAAACATGGCATAGTGACACTCCTAGGGCAGCTGCAGCGGGACTCAGGGCACAAAGTCCAGCATACAGTGGCAGTCACCTCAGCTTTGCACACCTCTGCCAGGGTGTGTGCAGTGGTGGGAGCCCCCACATGCCTTGACAAGCCCCCCAGGCTCTGATTAGTAACTTGTGTACCACCAATCTTGCACCAGTCAATCTCAGTCTGGGGGAGCTATTGCCCTGCATCTTGTCACTATGGCAACGCTGTGGTGGCCTGCCTGTCCCAGAGCCCCCACACTGAGATCAACTATCAGAGGCTCCACGATCAACCAGTTGATTGCAACTGACTGGTTGGTGACTACTGCTGCAGACAGAAAGAAAGACAGCAAGATCTCTGCTTGGCTGCTGCCACCATCCAAGCTGCATGAAGAGTATCCCTGGACTGGGGAGATCCCGGGGATGAGGGCTCCAGGGGCCAATGGTCCATAGGGATGCAGGCAAAGGGAAGAGAGTAGGGAACCAGGGGACTAGAAATCAGGTGCCCAGGATGGGCCCCCTGCAGCCAGCTTGTTCTCACCGGGGTAGGGCTCTGGCTTCCAGTCCTCATGGTCGGGTTCCCATGGCTCGGTTGAAGGCTTCCCATATTCATCTAGGGAAAGCAGCTGGCGGTTAGGAGGAGTCCTCAAAGCCATGCTGCTGGGGGCGGAAATCAGCACCAAGGGTTGCGTAGTATCTGGCAAGCAGTGGGCAAATGGCACCTCCAGACATTGGCAGGGCTCAGGCCCAGCAGCACGGAGGGGTCGGTGCCAGTACCCAGTGGGCAGAGAGAAAGGACTCTCATGCTACTCCCCTCTGTCACTAGCCATGGTCACTCTCTCTTTCATGATGGAAGGAATCCTGGCCACCAAACTGCATCCCTCAGACCACTCAGCTGTCTAGGACAGGCACTGTGTTACTGAGGTTGCCTGCTAGGCACAGCTGGGACCTATATTGTGCTTAAGACCTGGGTACTGTCCTTTTAAACAGCTGTGTGATCACTGTGTTCTCTGCTTCAGCCTGAGCAGCAGCAGGTATGTAGCTAGGAGCTGGGCACAGCCAGGTGGATTTGACCTTCCAGAACTCATGTTTCTTCTTCAGATCAAATAAGGGGCAAAAGACACAAAACAGTGACAGGGCTAGGAGCCTTGTCTGAGAACTGAGGAGATGGAGTATGAAAAGGAAGGGAAATGAACAAGTCAGTGGCTTACTGAGAGGGAAAAAAGTGTTAAAATGTCATGCTATTTGGGTAAAATGGCTGCTTTTGATAGGTCAGCAGAGGGCTGGGTGTTCCTGAAGTCATGGGTAATTAAAAGTGTTAAAACGTCATGCTTTTTGGGTAAAATGGCCATGTTTGATAGGTCAGCACTGGAAAAGGTAGGGAGAGGAATGTGGGCTAACATTTATAACCTGCTGCATCACCGTCTACTGGCTTCTCTTAAACCACTAGGCATTTGCTGAGATTATGGAAAGTCTACCAGCATCACCTCTCCCCAAAGCCTTTACAATTGGAATCAAAAACAAAGTGAGATCATTTCCAAAGCACCGTCTGCAGTCATGGTAGATGTTGGTTAAAAACACCTTGAGAACCTCACAGTAATACCATGTGCAGTGCTGAGTGGGGTCTTGGACTAAAAAAAAAGGAAAAACCATGAATTTCTCAATGACTCGGTTACAAATTGTGGCCATGCCATTGTCAGCCATGGCTTGTACAAGTGACAAGAACAAGCTGAAGAACTTCTGAAGCTACTCAAACCACAAAATGCGTCACCATCACATTTCTGTCTGGTGCTGGTTAGCTATTACCAGAAGTGCTTGACTAACACAGTGACAAAGTCAGCATCCTATAAATAAGCTGTTATGTTTGTGTTGGCCAACCATAGCTTTGGATAAGACCACGAGGCTGCTGCCGTCTGAAAGGGCCCTCACACACTACATGCATCTCAGCCTATAAAGATGGTTGGTGATGGACCAGGAGCAGCAATGGCAGAGGTGGTAGATCAGCCTGAAAGACCCAGAGTCTTTGTTCCTGGACTTCTTGCTTCTGCAGAACAGAGCTGGGCTCACAAGGATTGAGAACCTCCACGTCTGAGTGAG